CGCTCCCCCCTCCGCCCCCCTAACACGCGGAGCACTCTGGGATTTGGCGCCCCCCTCCTCTGTTCAGCCTATATAAGGCTCCCAGTCGGAGCCCCGGGTACACGCGCTTCAACTTCGGTTGGTGTGTGTCGAAGAAACCTGACTACGACCTGGGAGAACAGCTGAGAGGGTCCACCGATCCTCGAAAAGGTCCGCTGAGCGGGCTCGCGGCCGGAGCCACTCCGGGCTGCGGAGCACCCAGTGGAGCCCACGCCTGGCACAGGTGTGGGACCCCATCCTTCCTGTCTTCGCAGAGGAGTCCTCGCGTGGTGAGTATGCGGTGAGGATTTTTTTTTTTTAAGATCACATTCATTCCCCGTTCTTATCGGGAGCTGCGGGAGATGGAGTAGCGCCCCTGAATGTCTCCACGCAAACCTTGGCATGCCTTCACTGGCTGTAACCCCAAAACAGAGTGGAGAAATCAAGCCTTCAGGGCTTTGATTTCCAGGACCTAAGTCCAGATGTGGGCTGTAGACAGACATGAGCTGCGGACAGACATGAGCTGCAGACGGGCATGAGCTACAGACCAATTTGCAATTTGCTCTTCAAATGCGCTTCAAAGTGATACGCGCTACAAACTAATTGGCGCTTCATGCGCTACAAATTGATAAGCGCTTCAGATGCGCTACAGACTGATAAGCGCTTCAATCGCGCTACAGATTGATGGGCGCTTCAGTTGCACTACAGACAGATGGGTGCTTCAGTGCACTACAAGCCAGTATGAACTGTAGCGATATATGAGCTGCAGACTGATTTGCGCTTTAAATGCGCTACGAAATCTGAAGTGCAGAATAGCGCTACAAAAATGATATGATTAGCACTACAACAGCGCTTCATTGCGCTACAAGGCACAGGAACTGCAGAGGTACATGAGCTGCAGAACAATTTGTACCCTCAAATGTGCTACAAAGTAATAACAGCTGCAGAGGTATTCGAGCTGCACTGTTCCACGCTACAAAGAAATGAGCTGTAGAAGGATATGAGCTACAGAGTAAGATTACTTTTGTCTTCTTGGAGGGGGACCCCACCCTTTGTCTCTAACACACCTTTTGGAATGGCTCCCACTATGTTTTTCTGCAGGACGGGTATCTGCATTTTATTAGACAAAATGGAGCCCTGGGCAAAAATTATTATTTAACATTCTGCCCACACCATTCCTGCTATAGCAGTAGAGTGGAGGGGCCCTGACTTGAGTGTAAAAGGGAATCTTTTCGTGGTGGCGGAGCGGGCTGCCTTGCCTAGCTGCGCTTGATTGAAGTGGCTGTAGCGGTGGCGCGAATTGGCGTCCAGCAACAGTTTGTGGAAACTGTTGGTTTACTTAGTATTGGAAGGGGGATTGGATCTGGGTGGGGGGTTGCTCTTGTTGCATGAAATGAATCTGGTTGTCGGAGTCTGGTGGGAGGGGTTTGGGGAGGGGGGATCCTGGGAGAGGCTTGCAGCCAGTCTCAGACCTGACCCGCCCATTCTAGCGCGCCTTCTCTGCAGTATCGGCTCAGAGCGGGCTTAGCGCCTCCCAGCGCCTACTTAGAGCGCGCCTCCTCTGCAGCGCGCCTTCCCGGAGCGCGCCTTCTAGACCTGGCCTCCCCAGACCCCGCCTCCCGCCTCCTCAGAGATGGATTCTCCAGACCCCGCCTCTCCCTGAGCCCGCCTCCTCTGAGGTGGCTCCTCCAGACCCCGCCTCCCTCCCTGAATCCTCCTCCTGAGATGGCCCCTCCTAGGGCCCCGCCTCTCCAAAGCTTGGCCCTTCCCTGAGCCAGCCTCCTGAGTTGGCGCACAGCCCCGCCTCCCCCAGAGCCCGCTTGCGCCTGCGCAGTGTGAGGCCCTAGCCCCACCCCCCCTTCCCTCCCGCTCCAGCGCTTGTGCGCCTTCACCGCCTGAACCTGGCTGTACAGCTCCGCCCTCCTGCGGTTTCTCTGCTGCGCGGTTTTGCTTTTATCCATTAGTGTCTAATAAATACAAGAATAATAAAGAACAATTAATAATAGTAATTATACGTGGAATTCATAGGTATTTTGCATATATTAAGAAACATCTCACAATTTGAATTGATAGTGGCTTATAAAGAAGAGTGCTTCTAAACTCACATGGCTGGCGCCTCTAAAGGCAATTCAGCTAAAAGTTTTTACTACAGATGATACATAAAATGTTTTAAATATTTCACATTTTAGGTTTTTTGTTTCTTTTGTTTTTTGTTTTTTTGAGACACTACTGGACTTTTGTGGTGGGACCTACTAGAATCGGATGCCTTGGTGGATGCAAAATAAGGAACAACTTGAACTGTTTTATAGGAGTTTTGAGGCTTATTAGCGCTGCTGGCTTGGCCTTTGAGCGAGGATGAGGTGTTTATCTGTGTGCCTATGAACCTGGATTTTTTTCTTGGAACTGTAGGGGATTATTAGCTCTGGCTATCTTGCCTAAATATTTATTAATTGTGCCTGGCACATGGTAGGTGTTCGTTAAATATGAGTTAAATGACCAGAGTAAATTGGCTTATTCGGTGCTTTCCTTGGTGTTTGCAGGTTTTTTTCTGGTTTCTTGCTCCTGGCTCTTTCCTATGGCGTTTTGCTGCACTGGACTGTCCAAAATATTGCTCGTCTTATCTCTCACATTTAACAGACTATTAAAAAACAAAACAACAAAAAAACCATGCATTTTTAAACTCTAATAATGTAAGCTGTAATTACAATATAAAACAACTAAACATATTCAAAATAATTAACTTTTAAAAATAAAAAGCAAAAACTAAAATTTGGGGCAAGTGGATTACTTTTAATGGTACATTATTGTCATTTAAAATTTGTGTAATGTAACATAATGGTTACATTACAAAATAGAGATTGAGGGTTTTTACTGGCATTACTAAACATCTGTATAAAATAAATGTATATTATACTGCCAGTCAGGTGTACCATCATTAAGTTTCAAACTAAATGAAGAAATTTAAACACCTGGTTCCATATATTATAAACCATGAACCGGGACTTTGTTAAGGAGTATTTGGGTCCCAAAAATATGTCACAACCCAGTCCACCCCTCCCGCCCCAAGTATACAATCTGTGGATAACATGTGCTTAATTACAGCTTTCAATAAGTCCCCAGGCCCCTTTTACCCACCTTGCTACCTTGACACCTCTCCTCTTGGAAATTCTGTATCTGCATTTTAAAAAGTTTGAAAACAATGGTAAAAGCATGTGCATGTTAATGAACTTGGCATTTTACAAATAGTACACATAGTACTCAAAAAGAAATTTGGACATTTGAAAATGTAAAACAATTAAGAGTTGCTTAATGAAGTGTCATTTCCTAATGGGATGTTTAATGTGCAGTGGTTTGTGGTTAACTATTGCTCTTTGGTGTATTTAGGGAATAGAAAATTTTAGAGGCATCCTGAAGAATCAAAGATTAATCAAATGTGTGTATTTAATTCCTAAATAGACTAACACTGAACTCTTTCATATGTAAAGGTGCCTTGGCTTTATGCTGTGTGTCCTTTCAGGTTTTAGGAATGGGGCCTCTTGAAACCCCCCCCCCGCCACCCCCATCCAGCTCCTATTAAGGAACCATAGTTCTATAATTCAAATCCAGTCATAATGCTCCTGTTCCCCAGTGAATTGGCACATTAGTTGCTGTTTAAATGTTTTAAAACTTTACTTACACTTGCTAACCTGCCTGCCTACTGTCCTATCACTTTTAATGGTCAAAGTACTCTGCCCTGGGCATTTACCTCTTTTAGGACTTAGAATCCCACCTCAAAATGACAACCCCTGGGGGTGGCTTGAGGCTTGATATTAGGAAAGGTCAAGGATTTCAAACTGGTGACTTTGCAGGCCCTGAATTTGCTTGACCAGCACTGGATCAAAAATGTTTTAAGGAATTGAATGTCTTTGAGGAGGGGGCATGCATCCCCAAGTTACATAGTTGCAAACCCTCTTATTGTGTTAACTACAGTCTCTTCTCACTTTTACCTTCTTGTCTAGAAAAAAACCATTTGAATTTTAAACCCTTATTAATCTTTCTGTTTCTCTAAACAATTCAGTGATTGTTTGATGATTTCCTAATGTATTGTTATTTCTGACCTGTCGTGTTGCAGATGTTAAAACCATCAGACCTGGAGCCTCAGTAGAGTGTACCCCAGGGACAGTGAATGACCTATAGGTTGTTAACTTTCCTGATCTGGGTCAGGCTGTGCCAGGCCCTGCAGTAAATGCCTTTTCTGAAGTCTTCTAAGTTTTGTAAGTATTAATATCTAGATGACAGAAGTGGCACCTGAGTCACCTGACCTGTGCTTATTAGTTTATTTAATGGGATATTAAAATTCTTAATTTATTAAAAATTTTTTTTAATTGCATTGTTCTGTGACCTGATAGTCTGTCACCAATACAATTGTCTTTAAGAAGTTCGAAATGAAACTAAATGTCAAGACTATGGTGTGTTAACTGCATCTTCTAATTTTTCCTAAACTTGAATATTTTACTTTATTCATTGTTCTTGTAGCCTAAGTTAAAATAATTAAATAGCAAGTTAAAGCTATTAAAATGGTACAGTAAATCTGTTCCTTAAAGACCCTGCTTACTGTAAAACCACTTTATCTTTGTGGTTTTATTTTTTGTAATTAATTTGGTATCCATTTTTGCCTTTATATAAAGGTCACAGAGGCTGGACCCATAAAGACAGTTGGCTAAGACTGCCCAATTAAAATTTGGCCAATAGGCAGTGAGCCTGCTTTATTATTTTGTTTTTAAACTTTTGAGCACTTTCCTAAAGTTTTTCAAAAAGGAAAATTTGATTTTCATTTAAAAAAATCATTGAAAGCTAAAATAATTAAATTACTCTAAATACATTTAACCCTATATTCAGGAAGTACATAGGTACTATGTGATGGTTTATTGTATGTGTGATTTATTGTCACCATACCCATAATTAGAACATTTACTCTGCCTCCTGTCCCCCTGCCCTTCGCTACCACTCACCCGTAGGAGTTCAAACCTATCTCATTCTAAATAATAACCAACTTTCAGATGGGGCTGCACTGGCAAATCTTATTTAAAAAGCAGGAATTTCCAACTGGTCACCTGCAAGTCAAATGAGACCCTGAGTTTGTTTGACCAATACAGTATTTAAAAAAACAATATCTTTACATGGGAAATGCAAGCCCAGGTTGCCACAGTTGTAGCCCCTCCCTGTTTTAATCCCAACAACTTCTTTACACAGAAAGTTACCTTTCTGTTTTCTTGTTAATAACTTTTTTAATATCAGCTAACAGTTATTGAACATTCAGTGTGTGCTTTGCCTGCATGATTTAATTAAATCATTATTATAAGTTTGAGGTGTACGATTACTGGGCTTCTTCTGAGATCCCGTTTTATAGCCAGCTCCTGCTAAGAGGTAGCAACTAATATCTGTTGATTGGCTGCATAATAAGGAGGAAAACTGATATATCCATGTTGCTGCTCAGAGCCATTTATATTTATGTCCCATAGGGAATTCTTGTTGGGAAATCAAATTACGGTCTGAAAAGTAATTTAGACAATCCTGTGGGTTTTGTTGCCGTGGTTGTTTGTTTTGATACCAGTTAACCTTCTCTGTAAAGGTGGACCAGGGTGGTGACAGTTGGCCAGAGTGCTCCCCCCCCCCAGGGTTGATGAATACAGGCATTGTGATTTTAATCACCTCCCCCCCTTTTTTTTTGGTTCCCTGTTGGCTGGAATATTATCTATTATTCAGGGAACTCCTCTAATAACAGTTATCATCTTGGCTTTATTTAGTATAATTTATTTGATAGCCATCTTTGCCTTAAACGTTTTTTGCTCTGCTCTCTGGGTATAAAACTACCTGTTTGGAGCGTCTCAGCATTCTTTTATGGTCAGTAAAGTTAAACGTGCTGTTGATACAGTTATGTATTGTTGAATCATAATGAACAGGGGACTTTTGAAGACAAAAAAGTCATTTAGACATCATTAAGTAGGGTGCTTTTCGGTAGCTGTTGTCTCTTTGCAGGGCTTTTGTTTGTTTAACCATTAATGTAAGCAAGTAGAGTGAAGAGATACTTTAAATACTCATGTATTTAAAGTACTTTAGTAAATACTTTAAGTGCTAAAATCTTCTTTGTATTGTGCTGCTTTGAATATATATGTTGAATTTATGCTTTTATCCTTATTTACAGAAACAAAAAGCTTTTGAAAACCAAAAGAAGAAAGGGTGGAAGAGGTGGCCAGGAGCCAGGCCTCCATCCCCACAGGAGTGAAGCTACATTTGGGAGGTCCCCTCCCACCCCAATTCTCACCCTGGGGCCCGACTGCCCACCTCCTCCTCCTCCTCCTCCCCCATCCTCCTCCTCCTCCTCTCACAGTGGCCAGAGAGGCCAGTACATCCCCAACCTGGCAGAGCGGCGCCGGGACGATCTCTCAGAAGAGATCAACAACCTCAGAGAGAAGGTCATGAGGCAGTCCGAGGAGAACAACAACCTGCAGAACCAGGTGCAGAAGCTCACAGAGGAGAACTCCAACCTCCGTGAGCAAGTGGAGCCCACCCCCCAGGATGAGGAAGATGACCTTGAGCTCCGGGGTGCTGCAGCCGCTGCTGCCCCACCTGCTCCTGTAGAGGAAGAGTGCCCTGAAGACCTTCCTGAGAAGTTTGATGGCAACCCTGACATGCTGGTACCTTTCATGGCCCAGTGCCAGCTCTTCATGGAAAAGAGCACCAGAGATTTCTCAGTTGATCGTGTCCGCGTCTGCTTCGTGACAAGCATGATGACCGGCCGTGCTGCCCGCTGGGCCTCTGCCAAGCTGGAGCGAGCCCACTACCTGATGCACAACTACCCAGCCTTCATGACTGAGATGAAGCACGTATTTGAAGACCCGCAGAGGCGAGAGGCTGCTAAACGCAAAATCAGACGTCTGCGCCAAGGCATGGGGTCAGTCATCGACTACTCCAATGCTTTCCAGATGATTGCCCAGGACCTGGATTGGAACGAGCCTGCGCTGATTGACCAGTACCACGAGGGCCTCAGCGACCACATTCAGGCGGAGCTCTCCCGCCAAGAAGTCGCCAAGTCGCTGTCCGCACTGATTGGCCAGTGCATCCACATCGAGAGAAGGCTGGCCAGGGCGGCTGCAGCCCGCAAGCCACGCTCCCCACCCCGGGCGCTCGTGTTGCCTCACGTCACCAGCCACCACCAGGTGGATCCCACCGAGCCTGTGGGGGGTGCCCGCATGCGCCTGACTCAGGAAGAGAAAGAAAGACGCAGAAAGCTGAATCTCTGCCTCTACTGTGGGAATGGAGGTCATTACGCTGACAACTGTCCCGCCAAGGCCTCAAAGGCTTCGCCGGCGGGAAACTCCCCGGCCCCGCTGTAGAGGGACCTTCAGCGACCGGGCCAGAAATAATAAGGTCCCCACCAGATGATGCTTCATCTCCTCACTTGCAAGTAATGCTCCAGATTCATCTTCCGGGCAGACACACCCTGTTCGTCCGAGCCATGATTGATTCTGGGGCTTCTGGCAACTTCATTGATCATGAATATGTTGCCCAGAATGCAATTCCTCTGAGGGTCAAGGACTGGCCAATACTGGTAGAAGCAATTGATGGACGTCCCATAGCATCGGGCCCCGTTGTCCATGAAACGCACGACCTGGTAGTCGACTTGGGAGATCACCGTGAGGTGCTGTCGTTCGATGTGACCCAGTCTCCATTCTTCCCCGTCGTCCTAGGGGTTCGCTGGCTGAGCACACACGACCCCAACATCACTTGGAGCACCCGATCGATCGTCTTTGATTCTGAATACTGCCGATACCACTGCCGGATGTATTCTCCAATACCGCCGACTCTCCCACCACCAGCACAGCCATCCTTTTACTACCGAATGGATGGATACAGAGTTTACCAACCAGTGAGGTATTATTATGTCCAGAATGTGTACACGCCAGTAGATGAAAACGTCTACCCAGATCACCGCCTGGTTGACCCTACCATAGAGATGATACCTGGAGCACACAGTATCCCCAGCGGACACGTGTACTCACTGTCCGAACCAGAAATGGCAGCTCTGCGTGATTTCGTGGCCAGAAATGTGAAAGATGGGCTGATTACTCCAACAATCGCACCTAACGGAGCCCAAGTTCTCCAAGTGAAAAGGGGGTGGAAACTGCAAGTTTCTTACGACTGCCGATCTCCCAACAATTTCACCATCCAGAATCAGTACCCTCGACTCTCGATTCCAAATTTAGATGACCAAGCTCACCTGGCAACGTACACGGAATATGTACCTCAGCTACCTGGATACCAAACGTACCCCACATATGCCACGTACCCGACCTACCCAGTCGGATTCGCCTGGTACCCAGTGGGACGAGATGGACATGGCCGCTCGCTCTACGTGCCTGTGATGATCACTTGGAATCCGCATTGGTACCGCCAGCCTCCAGTCCCTCAGTATCCACCGCCTCAGCCACCCCCGCCGCCCCCACCACCACCGCCCCCGCCATCCTACAGCACCCTGTAAATTAGTGATGTGCTTCAGTATCTCTGCCCTCAGCTGATTTGTGCCCAGCTTCTCAATCAGTGACTGTGTGCTAAATTGGGCTTTCCTGCATCTTCAAGCCAGCCTGAGGCTGTCCTCTCTTGAAACGGCTACAGAAGGTCAGGGCCACGCTGGACTGGCACACACCCTAAAAGCACCAAAAGATCTCCACCATTTCCTGGGAGCCACAGAATATTCACCAACAGATTCTTTCCCAGTTTTCCACCTTGACTGCCAAGGTGACTAAAATGTGTAATCAGTTGACTTCCCAGCGAATCCTGGAAGCCTCGATCGACATTTACAGAGAAGCTGATGCAAACACAGGGAATGCTGTTTCTTTTCTGGAGGGGGAGGACATGACTCTTCTTGCAGTTTCGGTACTCTCTTTCCATCATTAGAGGACCGGCGCCTTATTAAGGAAGCCACAATTATTGGTGCAGTGTGAAACGGCTTCCGGGATCTTTTTGCTGCACCCTTAGAAACTTCACCATCTTCATACTCTTCTTTCATGGTTCCGTTAATTCTCAAGGAGCAGCAACTCGACCGGTTTTCCCAGGGGCAGGCAAAATACCTGCAACAGAAACACCTCAGGCCTGAGAAGGAAGTGCCCTCTCAGACGGACTCTTGCGTGTTGAGTGTGCCTTCACATCCTGGTGCAAATCACGTGTACCCAAGAACTCTGGCTTTTTCACAACACCTTACCATCATCATGCCAGCAATGGCTTCCACAAAATGTTAAACCTGGTAACCAGAGACTATTGGTGACTCTAGTTGTGTTAGATATTGTGAAATGTGACCACCTCTCAATCATATCTGAGGGCTAATGAGTAGCAAATCAAAAGGACTCTGAAATCCCGTACCCAACTCTTAAAAAGGGGCTCTGAGTTAATGTTACCAACTTGTCCTACTACTTTAGATAGAATATTCATGAGCGTTGTTAATTGGCTGGAAGAGTATCACCTGAAGTCTTGGGAACATCTGTCCACGTCTCTGCCTCCATAAGTGTCTGGGCATTTCATCATTAGTCCCCTCACTAAACTGTAGCATCAGGATGCTTAGAGAGGGGAAGTGATTTTAGCACCCACACCCACACTCTCCTATGCCTGGGAGGGATGTCTTTGAAGAGGAGAAATTGGGGCACTGGACACTGTCTGGAGGATATGGACTTTTTTTAGTGAGCTTCAAACCCAGCTGCCAATGAATGAAAGGCCTCAGAAAGCAACAGATAACACAAGCATTGTCTTTAATCCAGTGACATCACCTGGTGTCTCTTGGATGCTTTGTGGTAACCTGGGACTACCTGATTTTCTTTAACCTGGTCCCTTGCTACTTCCTTGAACTGTCTGTCTAACCTCTCTCTTTCTGTTTAATTCTTTATTACTACCATTCACCCTGCTGCAGGATTTGTGTCAGCCTTCTTGCCTGGTTGCTGAGACTCCCATTTTGTTGCCACGTCCGGAGAAGAAAGAGGCAGGCTTCAAGGAGCATGTGTTTCAGCACACAATCTCCAATTGCCAAAATACAGTTTAAGCAGTAGAAAAACATGATCTGTATTTCAAATTGACTATCAGAAAGAGGAGTCTAATGGTGAAGTCTGATTTTTCATCAACATCTTCTTTCACATATTCATTATCACCCACCCTTATCCTTGCATGTTTAAATACTTAAATGTTTTAGCTGTAGAGTAGTGATGTCCTTTAACAGTGTTTTAAAGTGGTGACTGCTCAAAAATTATTTCCATTGAATTACAAAATACTATCCAATTCTGTGTTAGAGTTAAGCTAATTAAAATTGATAAGTAACGTAGTATAAAATATTTCCTTACTGTGAACTTCTCTTACAACACTGTGAATAAGAGGCTCCTCAGAACTGGAGTTTTGTATAATAGTTCATCCTGTTCATCTTCAATCTTCTATTTTTAACATCATATAATTTCAATTTTATTAATTAGGCCTTTAAAAATCACACATACAAAAAGATGCAAATTCAAATAAGATCCCTAATTGGCTATTTAATCCAAAAGAACTTTCTTTTTCTTTTTCAATGGAATCAGAAAAGCTTGTCAGTCACTCATGTGTCTTAGAGTCCGTCATTACTTTTAAAATGGTGCATTTGTGCTTCTGGACTATTTTGAAGCGTCACTTCAGTTTACCTCAGATATCAGTCCATCCTTCATACATTTGAATTCAAATTGTGTTGTGTCAAATTTACAGTTGTCAATTGATCTTCAAACTGCAGAGGGCCTAGGAATGGCTCGTCTGCAGCCTGGCATGTGCACACGGACATTCGCCATCACTGCAAGGAAACGTCTGGAGATGTTGGCCAGCAACGACAACGGTCAGGGAGAACATGGTGGTATGGGTTAACAACTCACGGATGAAGACCCTGACACACATTTGGCTATTCAGTAAAGCTTGTGAAAAACTATTGGCAGTGTGTACTATGCTCTATTGCTATATATGCTATCTATAAATATAGGCGTTAAGGATAAGTAATCTCAAATCTGTTGTTCTATACGATCAGAATTTTATTAAGTTTCCTTTCACTCAGTTGATTTATTTTGTTGCTGTTGATCGAATTTATGTTAATTGGATACTTTAAATTTTTGGCATTTTCCAACAAAAATGCCTTTAATCATAAGAAAGGAAAGATCAAAAGAACTAAATCTCTGTCTGAAGAAGTTAGAAAGGGAGCAAAATAAAAACATAAAGAAGATAAATAAATCGACCTCAGACTTATTAAACAAAGCCAACAGTCAACCCTTGAAACAAATTGGCAAAATTGATTGACTTTTGGCCTAAATTTGCACTGTTAATTAGAAAAATCAGGAAAGAAGCAGCTAGGAGCTCCCATTGTTAGGCAAACCTAGAAAGAACTAGCTAAGGTCATCATGCTAGTATACGGAAATGGAAATTTACATACATTTCTGAAGCGTCAGTTTAGTTGAGCAGTGAGGTATTTGTATTAGATCCTGGAAATGAGTTGGTTTGATTAAATCATGTGCGGTAGCGCAGTGAATTAGCAGGTGCACAGAATAAGAGGGGCACATCTATATCGTGCAGTCTGGGTTTCTGTTTAAGTTCGCAGGTACCTCTTGGACTCCTGAATTGATCCAGTTGTCATCAGCCACAGACGTCTAACATCAGATAGAAATCCAAGATTGGCAACAAAGAACACGGCTGGAAGGAGATGGGTAGAAATGATGGACCACCTGCAGAGGTGAAGAGCCTGGTGGGAACCACCTACGTTTTCATCAGAAGAAAGAATGTACATCTTGGGACGGGAAGTTCTTTGTTGTTTCAGATTGTAGAATGCTATCGAATTGGTCTGTGGGAAATCGCATTGTTTTTTTTTTATTTCTTTGTGTAATCAGTTTAAGTACTAGGGGATATATATAATCATAAGTATTTTAGGGTGGGAGGGATTATTAGTAATCTTAAATGGGTAGGATTAAACAGCATGATTATGTATTAGATATCTCTATAAGTGAACGTGTACTTATGATCCTTTACTCTGTGATTGCTACCCTTTGCCCTTGTGATTTCAAATATACTCTGGAGGGAACTGCAGGGAGGTCAAACTACTTAGAGCGAATTGGACATGAATAAAACCCTTGTGGGAGAAAGTTAAAAAATGATTGGATAGATAATTTAATAGATGCTCTTTGCTCTGGGTATTAACTCCAGGGATCAAGATGGTGAGCTAAGCCTTTAGAGAGTTACTGGGTGGAGAGATACCCTTTGAGAATTTGTTGCTGGAATGCAATTGATAATGATGGATGGTACATATTTATGGAAGTTATATGAAAGCGATGAATAAGAACACTTGCCCCCATCAGTAGCCCTCCTCTTTACCCCTGCCTCTTCTCCCTACCCCTACACCTCCTGCCTACCCCTCTCCCACATCCCTACCCTTCCCCATTTTATTATTGTATTCTCTTTACTCTATTTCTCTCAATTTACTAATATTGCATTGATGTTATAATAAAAATTCAATTAATAAAGATTTAGTGGTTAAGTGCAAAGTGTGTCCTGATCATTTCAGCGTCTACCAGCATCAAGGGAACAGGGTGGGGGAGTGAAGGGGTAAGAGAGTTTGGGGGTGGGGGAGTAGAAAGGTGGGGGAAGGAACAAGATGGGGAGTTAGGGATGGGGGAATGGGCAGGGTGGGGTAGTGGACAGAGTGAGGGGTGGTGGGTGAAAGGTGAAGGAAGATGAAGGGAGAAGGAGTGAGGAAGGCGGGGCAGTGGGCTAAGGGGTGGGGAGAGTGGAGTTGGGGGTAAGTTTGGAAGTGTGGGGGTGGAATAAAGAATAAATTAAACAACCCAGTATTATTTGTCCAGAATACTCCAGGAAATCAACTAAATTATTCCAGCTACAAAACTTCAACATGTAAAATAAAGTCACATAATTACTAGCGACTCCATTAATATAAAAAACTTTTTTAAGATGCAAAAAGTTAACATAAAATAAAGCCGCACAATTAATAGTGACTCTATTGACATAAAAAAAAAATTTAAGCTGCAAACCTTTAACATAAAGCCACACAATCAATAGAGATTCTATTGAAAAAACACAAACTCTTTAAGCTACAAAACTTTAACATATAAAATAAAGCCACACAATAGAGATTCTATTTATTTTTAATATCAATTTTATTTGGAACACGAGATACATTAATTGAAAATTATAAAAGCGTTAGTGAGGATTAAAAGGAAGACATACCAAATGAAGTCAGTTGATGTGTGGGAAATTAACATACAGATGTTTTTAATACTAATTAAAACAATATCGGAGTGACTGTGAAAGTCAAAGCACAATGACATTAGTCAGAGTTGTAGAATAATAGGTTGCATATAGAAAACCTAACCTAAACTTAATAGCAGTAATCATTTCACCATATATGGAAGTGAAACCACTATGCTGCATACCTTAAATTTATACAGTGATGTATGTCAATTGGGTCTTAATAAAACTGGAAAAATAAACACAGATTGCCACCTCACCTCCATCCCCACCAAAAAAAAAAAAAAAAGAAAGACCTGAAAAGGGGACTCTAAATGATGTGCCAATTTCGAAGGGTTGCTGGGTTCATATGGCGTGGTCACATAAACAGTGATTTATTGGGAAGGATTCATGGAAGATGGCGACTATATGGAAAGATCTGGGGCTAATGATGAAAATACCGAATTAAAAACTCCTCTCCTTAGAAGCAGGCTACCCTGAACAGTTGTCCACCCAGCCCAGAGTTCACAGAATTCCACTGTGTGCATGGTGGTGGGTAGAATTGGAGAGATTGGGAGAGGGAGGGCACGATCAATGCCTATCAAGTGTCTGTTTGGAGGGTTACTTATTTTTAAAAATGGTGTGAAGGATATTAAGTCACTCGGAAAGGAATATACTAGTCATACCTGCTTTTCACACCTAGAATCCTCCCTATTCTGACCCCCACTTCTCCATAAACCATGTGATTAGACAAAACACAAAGGAAACAATGAAAGTTGCTGAACCTCAAGATTGCATTATATTTTATTATACAGCTTGGGTCAAAAGCTGGTCCAGAACATTAAATTTACTGTTTACAGCAATGGCACTATTTGTTAAAACCCATACCAGTTTTTGGAAAGAAGTGGCTTCCCAGAGAGAAATCAAGTCTATTTATAGCTCCAGAAATTGCACAATGAACCCCTCTTCCAATGTAGTTGAGGCCAATCATTAATCAAAATTCTTGTTTAAAATCAGGCCCACACTATATTAACTTACACATAAGTGTGCATTCATTGGTCAATCTTGATAGAGGCCTATGCTTCACTGATAGGAGCTCTGAGTTACCTTTCTTGAATAAATTATATAAATATCACAACAGTGGGAAAATACAGAACTTTTAAAAACATATAAAAGCAATTAAAATCAGTGTGGAGAAGAATCACTCTTGATTCATACCTCAAAAATACAGTAATGAGTTCCAGATAAATCAAGAACTACAAGAAGAAAGTAGAGCTTAATGGTGGGAAAGGGTAAAAAAATTCTTCATGGAATAATAATAGCAATCAAAAGTAAGGTGAATGGTTTTGAATCCATAAAGAACATGCACAAAAATGAGAAAATATTTGGTATATACCTATAAAATATATGATAACTAACTTACTACCCAAGCACCCAGTATTTTCTAGGATAAATTAAATACTTAATACCCACCCTTACTTCTTTTCTGCTTTTTAAAATATATCTAGAGAGAAATCTAGATGGATAAATAATAAATAAATAAATGTAGAGAAGAATCTGGATGGATAAATACTAAATGGATGGACAGATAGGTGGATAGATGGTAGATAGATGATCGATAGATAGATAGACAGATACATAGATAGATAGATGATAGATAGATAGATAGATGTGTGTGTTCAATAACTGATTTTTTCTAATGTGCCAGAGATAAGTAAATACCCAACCCCCAATACCCTTTACTCTTTTTCTGACTTTCTGAATACATGTAGAGAAAAATCTGGATGGATAATTAATTAATTAAGTGAATCAATGGATGGATGGATGGATAAATAGATAAATAATGTTTTTGTGTGTTCAATAATTATTGGTTTCTTTTAATGTGCCAGACACTAGGCTAGCTATTGGAGCACACAATGCTGGGCACAGACCTTACACTGAGATACCTAATGCAGTTGAATGATGACCATCCAATAGTTCTCCACCCAGAGTACCTCAACTTTCTTAGGCATCACGGCTGTCCAAGTCATTTGGGAACAGGAACTGTTACGACATCATTTAGTGCAGACAAAGAATCATTCTTAAGTTTTGGCATTTAAGGTTTTTTTCCAGAATACACTAGATTTCTTAAATGTTTATTTGTATTAGTGTTTGATAATTCAAAAGGATCAACAAGAGAAAGAGAGGCTAGATGGGTCTTTCCTCCCAAATTCACCTCCCGAGAAACCCTTTTAGCACATAGTAAAGCTCCTTAATTTTATTCCCAGATAATACCAGAAATAGTTGACAACAGGTATATTAGGAATCCTCTTCCTGGTAACTCAAAATAATTTACAGAATAACATTTGACCCAAGACAATAACTAAAGGAAGAGCAAGTGAACCTCTGGAAGATCATTAATTACTGTTTTATATATGGCCTTATGGTCCTTACATTAAAAAAAATCACTGAATTAAAATGATCACTTACATAACTTGTATCATTGGCTAATTCTTCTCAAAAAGTCCATGTCATAAGCCAAGAAAAAAATAAGTAGACAGACGTTGTATACACTTCATGAAAACTCATTACAGATAAATTTCTTTTAAATTTAATAAAAACATTTTTCTATTCTATTTCTAAGAGGTTTCAACATTATTTATGTCTCATTTACATCAGCCTGATGTTAAAATACATCTAATAAAATAGCACAACATCCTATCTTCTAGGTCTAAGTTAATTTCAAAACTATGTATTGCTCATTTTTATAACTTTCAGTCACCTGAGTACCACCCCAAATTTTATCATTGACTGTGTTCTTAAGATTAATTGCAGTAGGGTGGTAGTATTTTACTAGCTTAAGGACTACAAAATTGGCATATCAAATTACCCTGTCAGTCCAGCACTGAAATGATGCCCATTCTGAGAACTAAATTTAAGCTTTGTAACTAGGTGCTAAAATCCAATGTTGAATTTGGGAGAGTGTTCACTACTCACCTCTCTTCTCTTTTGAACCAACTTGAGAATAAACACAGAAATTTAGATGTGAATTAAAATGTATCTTTTCTAAAATTATTTTTTAAAATTGAGATATAATTGACATAATGTTATATTAGTTTCAGGTATACAACATAATGGTTTGATATCTATCTGATCACCACAATAAATTTAAGCTAACATCCATCATCATACAAATTTACAAAATTTTTTCTTGTGATGACAATTTTTAAGATTTTTCTTAGCAACTTTCAAATACGTATACGATACAGTTTTATTAACCCCCACTCCCTCCCATGTATCACCCAACGAATCTAGTACCCATCTGACACCATATATAGTCACCATGCTCTACATTACATCCTCTGTACTTATTTATTTTATAACTGGATGCTTGTACCTTTTGACCACTTTCACTTATTTTGCCCACCCCCCAACCCCTCTAGTAACCCCCAATAGTTTCTCTGTATCTATGAGTTTTTTATTTTCTCTCTCTTTTTTTGAGATTCCATATGTCAGTGAGATCATATGGTATCTTTTTTCCTGTCTAACTTATTTCACTTAGCAAAATGTTCTCAAGATTCATCCATGATTTCCTTCTTCTATATTGCTGAATAATATTTCATTGTGTATACACAGAGGGTGCCAAAAAATGTATACACATTTTAAGAAAGGAAAAAAACTGTATTAAAATTGTAATGCTCAATATATACCGATAACAAAAGATGAATACAAGTCACATTTGACTTCTGCAGTTACAAGAGGTGCTCAAAGTGGTTGCCATCAGTGTAATTTTAATACAGTTTTTTTTCCTTTTTTAAAATGCATATATATATTTTTGGAGATATATATATATATATATATATAATATTTTTTTATCCATTCATCCATTAATGGGTGCTTATGTTGTTTCCATGTCTTAGCTATTATAAATCATGCTGCAATGAACATGGGGATGCAAATATCATTTTGAGTCAATGTTGTTTCCTTTGGATAAATACGCAGAAGTGGAATTGCTGAATCATATGATAGTTCAATTTTTAACTTTTTGAGGAACCTCCACTCTGTTTTCCATAGTGTCTGTACCAATTTACATCCCCACAACAGTGCACAAGTGTTCCCTTTTCTCCACATCATAGCCAATACTTATTATTTCTTCTTTTATATGATAACCATTCTAATAGGTGTGAGGTGATAACTCATTGTGTTTCTCATTTGCATTTCCCTGATGATTAGTAATGTTGAACATCTTTTCATGTACTGTTGGCCATCTTTTTGTCTTCTATGAAAAAATGTCTATTCACATCCTCTGCCCATTTTAAAA